TAGACCGATCTACATATATATCCACCTTTAGAACATATGTTATGCCCTTCCAACTATATGGACTGGATGTTATAATGACCAATAGCATATCATTGAAAATACTTCAATATGTCTACAAGAAAATGATTAAACAAATCTTATCTTTACCAATTTCAACTGCTGACCCAGCTATATACATATTATCTGGATTACTACCCATAAATGCTGAAATCGATATAAAAAAACATTACTTGGAAATATTTTATGTTCTGACAAATCAACCGTTGAATGGAAAATAGCCAACCGTCAATTGAAAATTAAATCAAGCAAAAGCAACAGCAACAGCTAGTTCATAGATGCAAAGAAGATTTGTTTCAAATATCAACTAGCAGATCCTGTGGATTTTTTGGATACTGTAACAACTAAAGAAATGTGGAAAAAAAGTATGGTCAATAAAATTTAAACATATACTAGCATAGAAAGATCATGGACGAGAAAGAACAATTCACAAGTCTACAATATTTATCTCCAATATACAGACTTGGTCATTGTCATCCGTTAATCTTTATAACAACTTCTGACACTAAAATTGTACAAAAATTACCGCCGCGAGTGAAAATAGTTACAGAAGTATTCCTACAATCACAAAGAGCTAAATACAACTCAAATGTAGTGGATCCAACATGTCAACTATGTCAAAAATTCGTAAGGGTTCCGCGGAACCCAGTGTCTCGCCTACTTTTGCTGTTAATCGCAGGCTCAACAAAAATGAGGAAAAAAATTAATAAAAATATTCCTTTCTATACCATCTTTTGATTGTAAGTAGCTTCTGTCCAAGTTTGGTACAATTCCATGATAGTTTATGAATCTAATAAATGATTTAAAAACTTAAACTGCAGACTGTATGTAATATTAACTGGAAGAAAAACTAAGTCCATTTATAAGTAAAATACGGAAAAAATTGAACAAAATTTTAACAAAATTTTCTTCTAGATATTAGCTTTTAATCATAAACAAGCTTCTGTCCAAGTTTGGTACAAATCCAGGATAGTTTAAGAAAGTTGCTAAAATTTTAAAAACTTTAACCACAGAGTGAATGTAATGTTAACTGGCAGAAAAACTAAGTCCATTTATAAGTAAAATACGGAAAAAATGGATTTTTTTTTTTACAAAATTTACTTCTGGATACTATCTTATGATCATAAACAAGCTTCTGTCCAAGTTTGGTAGAAATCCAGGATAGTTTAAGAAAGTTATTAAAATTTCAAAAACTTTAACCACAGAGTGAATGTAATGTTTCTTGGCAGAAAAACTAAGTCCATTTATAAGTAAAATACAGAAAAAATGGAATTTTTTTTTTACAAAATTTACTTTTGAATATTATCTTATGATCATAAACAAGCTTCTGTCCAAGTTTGGTAGAAATCCAGGATAGTTTAAGAAAGTTATTAAAATTTCAAAAACTTTAACCACAGAGTGAATATTTGTGGACGCCGCCGACGACTACGACGACGACGACGACGCCGACGGAATGTAGGATCGCTATGTCTCGCTTTTTCGACAAAAGTCGAAGGCTCGACAAAAAGGAGATGAAACATTATCTCATTTTCTGCTCACATACATTAGAAGCTGTTAGAAAACCTATGTTAGTAAGAATAATGCTAACGTCTGGTAGACTTTTCTCTGACAGCCACAGAGTCAATAACATTGAATTGCTAAGACTGATTTGTGATCCTTATAACTATACTGCATATCAAACAACAATGATCAAATATTGGATAATACATCCAAAATTCTAGAACCACAATGCAGGAAAATGATCCACTCACTTCAAACAACACGGTGTAGACTACTTGGTTACGATAGTAAACAACCAAAAAAGAAAAGAAAAGTTTAAGGTTAATATTTAAGTGTATATAAGTGACTCATCATAAGACAGTCCAAATTATCAATACTTATTCAAATAATTTTAGATTTTAATGAATCTGTTGCGTATGTTATAAACTGACAGTGTGTGTATATAATCTTGTGGTGGATTGAACTTTTAAATGTGTGATAATAACTTATATTCGTGGTGGTGGTGTATATCACTCCAGCTATATTTATTATACGGATTACAGATTACAGATTACAGGTTGATTTCCTAATATTCCAAATTCATATCTTGTAACATTAAAAAAATTATAAATATACCCTGAAAAGTTAAGAAATAGACAATATCTAGTTAGGTTCGTTCAAGCATCATTATCTTTTTCTACACGGAGAATAGGCCATAAACTAAATATATCAATACAATAACATCTGTTGAACACACAAAAGCTTCTAGGTATATTTATTGACAAAAATTTAGACTTGAAATTTCAAATTGATCGTGTATGTAAAAGCATAAGTTCTCGTATTGCAATGTTATCCAGAATTAAGAAATATCTAGATATTAGTAGTAGAAAATTATTTTATAATGCTTAATTATATTCTGCCCATATTTGATTTTTATTGCTAACTATGGGGAAACTGTAAAGCATATGGAATTCAAAGAATTGTTAAGATGCAGAAAAGAGCTGCCAGAATTATTTATTTAAAGAGCTGCAATGGTTAAAATTCAAATCTAGTATTTCTTATCATAAATTCAGTGATTCTTATTCATAAAATTCTCAACAATAAAGCACCTATAATTACCTTAAAGAACTATGTTGTCCAATTATAAACCTACCGTGACAGCAGAAATTTAAGATCTTCTGCAAATAATAATCTAGTAATGTAGTGAGGCCTAATACAAGTTCGATGAAAAAATCATTCACATACAGCTCCTCAATACTTTGGAATAAACTACAAATGAAATAAAACTATGTGAAAATCTAGGTACTTTTAAAAGAACATGTGTAGATTTTTAACTATAAATAATATCAGAAGTCCTTTACTAGACTAGTAATGGACTTCTGATGATATGTAACAACTCTCTAACTCTATCATGTCTTTTTAATGAATCCCTGATATATCGGCCTAGTATAACAAAATCGGACTATAACATACTCGGCCTATAACATAATCGGCCTCACAAAATCGGACTATAACAAACTCGGACTACTAGAAGAATATAAGTATGATGTTGGATGTTGTTTTCTTTATTGGAAATTAATTATCAATACTTAATTTGCAATTAATTATGATTTACAATTAATTAAATAATCATTTTGAACATTTTAGAAGCGAGTAATATAAATTACGTTAACAAGATATGTATTAAATGAAAAGTAATAATAAATTCATTTAAGGTAGATAGGGTGTCTTCCTCCATCTTGGATTTTGAATACCTGAAAACAATCGGTCTAGATCTTTAATAGAATGTGCAAATTTTGAGAGTAGTAGGTAATTCATGTGTAAGAATTTTCATTTCAATATAGAAAATGACATGTTTTATCATATTTATGGTTGTATTTTACAAAAAAACAGAAAACTTTTGTTTGATTCAATTTTTTCCAACTTTGATACATAAGGGGAGGCAACTCAAATGTAAGGGCAGATAATTCAGATGAAGGTACTTTTACAATAGAATGTGTTAGGAATTTACCTATTTTATTATGTAGCAAGAAAAAGGGTCCGGTGACCCCATTTTTTCTTTTTCTTATCTGAAAGCATACTATTAAATCTATCTTCTCATATTTTATCTCAAAATTCTATGGTGTAGTTTTCGTTTTATGGCAGAAAATTGGGTTTTCCATGCATAATCTATACAAAATCTGTTAATTTTGAACTACCTGTAGCGTGAAAATAAGCCCCGTGACCCATTCTTTTTATCATTTTTTTTAAAAAAGCTTGATATAAACTACATTTTGGCAAATTATTAAAAAATTCTATGGATTATAATTTAGACACCCCATCTACCTTAATAATGAAAATCTAGCACTTATTTGTCTTTTCTGTATTATTATTTGTATGTCCCTCTCATTAAGGTCTTTCCTTTCACTATAAGGAAAGACTTTACTGTATTTCTTCTGATTATTATTATTATTATTCTTTCCGCCAAACTTTCAACGACATTTCCCAAAAAAAGTACTCGACATGTTAAAATGATATTAGGTATCTTTTATCATATGCATATCTTATATGATTGAACTGGGAATATGACATCATGCCACGTGTATCGTTGACACCTTTTTAATTACCTGAATTTAATTTTAAATATAATTACTTTTCCATTAATAAAGAATTACAGATAAGTGAAATTGTTAAGAACCTATTCACTGTCAATCAAATTTCTCTTTGTTTGTATTCTTATAATGAACATCAAGGATTAAACTCAATACAAACATGCACACACGCCAATCATTAAAACATCTTTTGTCAATAAACATAACAAACGAGAAAATCTCAATAAAATTTCAAATAGAAGTAAATTATTCTCATTCAAAAATATCAAATTCAACTCATATAACATATATTTTAAGGATGGATCTACATTTATTTTAATACATTTCTATATATTGTTTTTTTTTTAAATATTTATCATTTTCTCATAAATTCGTATATAATTTTTTTATATATAAAGTTGTTTTTTTTAAAGTCAGAAAAAAAAGTTAACAACACAATCTACTAATCGTAGTCCGAGTTTGTTCAATATATTTCTGCATATAAATAGTGGTAGGCCGAGTTTGTTATAGTCCGAGTTTGTGATAGTCCGATTTTGTGATAGGCCGATTTTGTTTTAGTCCGAGTTATCCAGCAGCGTTTTTAATGTTTGTGTTTAATGTATTATTTGTTTTTCTTTTCTACAGACAATCATCTATCATGAAAGTTTAGTTATACATGTTATATGTTCAAAATTGTAATAATTGTAATATTTGTTCTGTATAGATTAGTGAATGCTAATGGAGTCACCCTCTTTAAATAAAGTCATTATTATTATTATTATTATTATTATTATTATTATTATTATTATTATTATTATTATTACGGAGCGAATAATCCTTGCACGGATAAGTTAGTTTTATTTTAGAACTATCGTCCTAAACGAGATTCGCCACGTTATTTTGGTAATTCAATATGTCAGCGCCCATAGTTAAGTTTGACACTTGACAAATGAAGAATTTATGTATTTTCTAGTGTCTGTGAAGTATATATAAAACTGCAACATGAAGACCGTACTGATGGTTGCTGAGAAACCGTCTCTAGCCCAGTCGATTGCTAAGCTGTTATCCAATGGGCAGATGAACAGTAGAAAAGGGTCAAATGGAGCCTGTTCTGTCCATGAATACAGAGGTGTTTTTCCTCCAACGGGAGAAAATGTGTTCTTCAAAATGACGTCTGTTTGTGGTCATGTTTATGGTCTTGATTTTGTTGGAAAGTACAATAGCTGGGATAAGGTTGACCCGGTATATTATTAAGGTTCCGAATGCATTTGATTTTTTATTTTTAAAATAGTCTTAGCACAGGCATAGCACAGGCACTTGTCTCAGAAAAAAAATTTCCTTTATACCTTAATATAACACAAGGTACTGAACTCGCATTTTTGAAAAATGTCAGCCAGTTTCGAAATTCCGTTATATGCCGATTTCTCGGTTGTAACCCCACTAAAACTTGTTATGTCGTAAATCTAAATTGATTTTTCCACACAATGGTGTATAACACGCCTACTTTTGTTGTCGGGATCATCCGTAGCAATCCTACCCATGTATGTCAATCGTAATTATTTCGTCTACCGAGACCAGATTGGAAACACAAAACTTGTAGTAAATGATTAATTATAAAAATTATTTATAAAAAACCTGTTAGTAGTAAGTTTTTTTGACAACGAAGTGTATTTTTCCATTTTTGAACGACAATGACCATGATGACAAATTTTATTCATTTAGTCTGAAAAAAAATCTGAAATAAGACCGGAAAAATAGCAAAACTCTATATAAATCGTTATTTTGCCGGAGCCAGCAAAATAGCACTAAGGAGGCTATTTTGTCGGAGCCGGTAAAATAGCACCTAAGAGGCTAATTTGCCGGAGTGGGCAAAATAGACACTGCCTTTATATATTCTATCTGGTGATGGAGTTTTAACTTTAAATTGGTGCATTTTTCCTATTTTCCCTCTCCCATCTTTTAATTTTTACTATTTTCAATTTTGTTATATATTTTTTTTCCTTTCTCTCTTCCCCTTTTAAATAGAGATGATGAGGTGTATCACATGTTTGTCAGTCCTTGTGTCCTATGCATCCTATTCTGTTGTTGTATAAAGGTTGAAATACTCCAGACTTCTGGCTGGTCCTTATCAAAATTCTCACAGGACTAGGAACACTGATGAATTTCAACGTCTATGTTTAACTGTAAATACCTTAAAGTTACATGTACAGTATTGTGTAATATTATTTGGGTTATGGTTTAAATGAGGATTTCCTGGATCTCCTATATTGGAGGTGAAGATTTATTACGAATACAGATACAGATACTGTCACCAGTATTATATATATGTACTGGTAGATTCCTCTGTTATTCAGAGCACCCCTTGAGAGTTGCAAGGGTACAGTACACTCCCTACAGTCAGGGTACTACTTGTAGAAGTAGTAAATAAAAGAAGTAAATATTAATATACTTATATAAGTGAATTTGTAAGATACTTATAGTCTTCACGATAAACTTTTAAATCTACAGGCCCGGCACTCAATTTTTGGAAAATTTTAGTTAGATTCTGTTGGCCTGTTGAGATGATTTTTACAGGCCCGAAAGCAATTTTATAAGCCTGGGCTGCTGGGCCTGTGGCTGAGCGTGAAGACTGCTTATACCAGTCGAGGGTATAACTCTATAGGGTTATTAGAGAAAAATATCATACATTTGTTATTGTGGACTAAATAATCCAAAAACTGTGATAACATTTGTATGTTACATGTTTCAAAGGGGCAGTATACATCCTCTTTTGTTAAATTGTATACAAATGTAGCCAAGGCTCAGTGTTGAAGGCCGTAGTTTGACCTATAATTGTTTACTTTTTACACATTGTAACTTGGATGGAGAGCTGTCTCATTGGCACTCATACCACATCTTATTTCTAAGTACTATTGATATTATTATTATTGTCTTTATGTATACTAAAAAGGGAGGGTTCCAACCATTTGTCCCCTTTCAAAAGCATTGATCGTCAAAAAAAGGAGGATTCAACCCTGGAACCCCCTGGATTTGCCACTGATACTATAGAAGGATATAACTTTTCATAGTTTGCCAATCATGCATAGTACACCTTTGTTATTAAAGAAAAAATATGCCTGTAATAACTAAAGGTTGTTATTACAGCTTCTTTACATCACTTCAAAGCCTTTGCTCAAATATATACCATGCTTAATCACAATTTATTAATTTATTGTAAATTTTTATGATGATCAGAGCATGTAATGAGGTTCTGGGCAAGCTTCCAATTCCCAAGTGTCTCATATAATAAGTTACATGCCTGTAAATAGCTACTTAAGCCTTGTTATTTTTTCTAAGTTTCCTTTAAAAGCCTTGTCTCATTGATTTACCATGGTTGATAAATAATGTATTAATCTAATTGGAAGCTATGTATTAAGTTACTGCACAAAGTTTCAAGAATTCCCAAGTGCCCACTAAAAATTGAAATATTTATGACTTATTTAACAAATAATAAACGTGTTACTACAGATTAAGAAAATTTAAGGAATAAAGAGTAGACAACTCATGAAAATATCTGTAATAACACATGTATGATATTTTCTCAAATAACCCCGTAGAGTTACAAAAAATGTATACCCTTGACTGTATACAAGTTTATTTTATTTACTTAAATAGATAAATTATTTTAATGGCTTAGTTATGTCCCTTAGACATTCAGATTTTTTCACTTATATTTAAGTAAAAAAGTCATACTATCTTCTTTTCTTGAATTTCTCAGGACTTCTTTGCTCTAATAGAATTTTTAATTGTCTGTCCTTTGCAGATGTCTTTACTTATCATTTAAGTGTATTTTCATGGACAATGAAAATCTCATTTGTCTGTTATCTTCAAAACACTGCTCATTTACAAGCTTCCAAGGGGCAATTTTTGAAGGCCTTGCACAATTACTTAAGATCTTTGATCAATAAGTTTCTTTGTTGAATTAATGAGATGAAATGTTGAACTCTAATAAAAAATTATGAGCAAACCAGAAAAAGATTGTTTAAGGCATGTTTTACATCCCTTTAGGGATTGTAAAAAAATAACTTGTACATGTACTTTTGAAAATTAAGGGGAGATTATTCATACCTTTTAAGAAAATATGAATATAACAAATTTAGTTATATAAGTATATTTATATTATATTTACTTCTACAAGTAAATAAAAATAACTTGTACAAGAAGTACCCCTGACTGCCCTATAGGGATTAATAGAGATGTGTCACTAACATATTTTCAACAGTATTTACAAGGGCAATCCCAACCCAAACACAAAGGGAGTGCTAGGACACATGGAAGTCTTATTATGGTGAAACAAGCTGAAGTACTCTGAGAGAAGCACTGGGACATGCTGCGGGAACAAACAAACGGGAAGAGATATCAGCAGCTTGATCTCCAGGTCCCATTCAACCAACAGAGGCCCAATGTTTGCCTGCCAGTGTCGGTTTTGCAACTCATTATTTAAATGGTATCAGCTCTTTTTGGCCAAAGTCATTCTGGCCCCATAATAAAATAATGAATAATGAATATAAACATCAGAGAGTTTTGTGAAGTATTTGAAGTGGCAATTTAAAGTTATATAATTCGATATGAAATCTTATTATAAATATTTAAAATATTAAAAACAATATTCGAATAAATGTCTTCTTCAATGAAAATCATATATTTGAATATGCGTTTAAGGTACAATTTTTGATCGTCCACCTTTGCTAATGTTCATAAAATTTATTAACATTTAGGAACTGCATGTCAAATATATAACCTTGTAAATGTAGACAGTGGCCTGATCGGCTTTAAATGTGGGGGCGCATCCACTTGGGCCAGATTCAATTAGTCTGTCACTAAGGTCCAGAGCACTGTTAGATAAGCGGGAGTTAACTCGTATGTACTCGAACCAAGGGACAGGGGGTTAGTCTATCGCTAGACTTAATGTTCTGATAGGCATAGCTAAAGCCTAAAATGCCATGAAGGTTTATATAAATTAATAAATGATAACAATTTAGATGAATGATGATAACAAGTCAATTAGTATACAATGCCAAATGATAATGATATTCTAATTAAAGTACAAAGTATAATATCTAAATATCAAATCCAAAGTAAAACAATTTCTCTTTACAAAAAATAAAATAAATGCCAAAACTACTAAACCATAAAATGAACTTAATTTCAAAATCAAAATGTAAGTCTCAAAAATATAATAATTCTCAACTAGGAATTTCCAAAGTAAAAATGTGAGTCAGAGATAAATTTTGTCTTTACACCACACAGTCAACTGGTAGACTGGTGGGCAGTCTTGTAGGTCCAGTAGAAAGACATGAGTAGTGAGAGGTTACAGTTCCAAAACACTGACTGCTTTATAAAAAATTCTCAAAAAATAAAAGGTGTGTCAAAGATAAATTTTTGTCTCAACACTACAAAGACAACTGTTACTTTGAGAAAACTGTGACATGTCAAATACATTTTGTACTTGCCACAGCATAGGTAAAAATTAATTAAACCAAACTTAATTAAAAATTTTACAAAATTCAAATATAAAATTGTTTTTCTAATTAAAACTTATTTTTAATACAAAATAACGCTAACAAAAATATAGCCAAAAAACACACCATGACAAATCTTTTACAATGTATTATTACATTGCTTTCTATATTTATCAACTCAAACTTTTAGCTTATATGAATTGCTTTGATAATGATTTTAAATAACAATGTTTTTGTTTGTAAATCATATTAATTACATAAATTGCTTGTTGAGGAAATCCTGAACAAAAATGACCAAAAATGAAGAGCTTTATCTTCCTTCAATCACTATACTAGATACTTAATTACATAATTTCTGCAAAATTTTTGCAAATAAAATATGTTTGAACTACAGTCATGACAGTCAGGGAATTCCTTTGTTGACAATCCTTGTGCAAGTCATAAAAAAATTTACTTGTTAAAGTAATGTTCAAAAGCTTATTGCAGTCAGATTCCCCGTTAACTTTAAAAATATTAAGACGAATTTAGTTGCTCATACGGTAAATATGATGTGTTTCACAATCATGACAATAGAATACTTATAACGACCAGATATATAGAAACCAACCTTCAAATGTGTTCAGTTCCTTTTTTGCTTAACATGCTTAACTTCCTATTATTGAAAATTTGTGTCTATAAAATGTGTTGCACAAATGTTAAATTTTTGTCACATGTTTTCCACACTTATATGTCACATAGCTTCTTGGTACATTGCACCAACCTTAATCATATTGTGAGGTACCTCTTTTTATTTCTCATAAACTTAATGACATATCAGGAAATGGACTTTTAAATGTTTAATGTATATTTCAGAGTGAGTTGTTTACTGGACCAACACACAAAAAAGAAGCAACAGAAAAGTTAAGGATGCCAACTTTTCTATCAAAAGAGGTAAAGCAATCTGTGTAGAAATGTAACATCAGAGCTCCAGATAAGAATTCACAAATTGGGGTTTTTACCCACCATTTTTTTATGTAATTGGGTGATAAAGTTTTTAAATTGCATTATCAATTCCAATTCACCCCTCAAGCAAATATCAAATTGGGTTTTTCAACACCAAGCCCCTTAATGTATTGGGTTTTTTCATCAACACAATATTGAATGTTTAGGCATGTTATAATCACATTATATCAACCCCATGCAGATGTTTTTCCATCTTAAATGTGTTTCTTTCTTTGTATATATGCTAGCTGTTTTATTTGGTTTATTCACTGACGAACAATTGACGTTTAATTTGTGTCCGATTTTAAACGTTCTGCCAGTTTTGTATTTTATCACAACTTATATAAACTGCAGCTGGTGTCACTAGTTGGACAGTTACTAATTACCTTTCTAGATCCCATATGATCACCCCACAGTTTAGTTGGGGTAGGCGTGGCTAAGTGTTTAGATTTTTATGTAATATATGTGAAATTTAGGTGCTGTAAGAAAGTTTTGCCAGTCCTTTCACCTATTTGCCAGATCTACTTTTTAATAAAAATAATAAGTAGTTCCCAGATTTAAGATATACCCCAAAACCTTGACCAGCTTTATAGGTTTAATGACGGAGACCACATTCAACTTAAATTTACAGAGTTAAATTTACAAATAATTCTGCAACATCAAATAAATAAATGACAATGTGAAACTGCACTTGCCAATAAGACAACTATCATAAGCATACAGATTGAGAACAATAAGACCAAAACAAAGAAAGTGTCAAGATGCATTGAAATAAAAACGGATATGTCATTATGTGTATTCACTCATCAACTAAAATGAAAAAAATAATATATAAACTAAAATTATACTTGAATGTTTTTGTTTAATCTAATTTACATAAACCAGGGTTAACTTGTCCCAGCTGATTAGAACTTTTGGTTTCTGATGCTTTCCAACTACATATATCGTGTCATAATTGATTTGGCCTTTCACTGTTTCCAACTGATTTCGTTCTTGACAAAACCCTGTGTTTATCGTTCTAGCAATGTTCTCGTTAAAGTACGCAAACGGGTCTTGTTATCATCATAATAACTTTCCCTAAAGTATCAAAAAGAAGCTGAAAACATGCTTCTATTCAATATTTTTATCGGATATTTACTTTCGTTTTAATTCATTGTATGTTATGATAAATCCCGAGCAATTCGAAAAAAATATGACAACAAGATAAACGCTAATTGGATAAACGCCGAGAAGATCGAAATGTTTTCATAAACACGTGTATATACCTTTTGAGCAACGGAAAATTCCAATAGGGACCCATTTCGGCTACTTGATGCAGGGCTCTATTTTTAGAACGAAAGGACATTTCCAATTATAAATATTATAAAAATAGATTTACCCGACGACTGTAATCAGATAAGGGTAAATAACGCAAACGATAGCGAATAAAAGCGTTAAGAACTCATGGTTTTGGCATATAATTGGGTTTTCCTTTGAATGAATTGGGTTTTTGAACCCTGCAATGGGCAATTGCATTGGGTTTTTAATTATTTGTATTGCGTGATCACGCAAATACGCAGCTTATCTGGAGCTCTGGTAACATGTAACCAGTAAGGCAATCTGTGTAGAAATGTAACATGTAACCAGTAAGGCAATCTGTGTAGAAATGTAACATGTAACCAGTAAGACAATCAGTGTAGAAATGTAATGTGTAACCAGTAAGGCAGTCAGTGTAGAAATGTAACGTGTTACTAGTAAGGCAATCAGTGTAGATATGAAACGTGTAACCAGTAAGGCAATCAGTGTAGAAATGTAACATGTAACCAGTAAGGCAATCTGTTTAGAAATGTAAGGTGTAACCAGTAAGGCAATCTGTAGAGATGTAATATGTAACCAGTAAGGCAATCTGTAGAAATGTAATGTGTAACCAGTAAGGCAATCTGTAGAAATGTAATGTGTAACCAGTAAGGCAATCAGTGTAGAAATGTAATGTGTAACCAGTAAGGCAATCTGTGTAGAAATGTAATGTGTAACCAGTAAGGCAATCTGTCTAGAAATGTAACGTGAAACCAGTAAGGCAATATGTATAGAAATTAATTACATTGTATGAGGTAAGGCAATCTGTGTAGAACTGTAACATGTTACCAGTAAGGCAATCTGTGTAGAAATGTAGAGTGTAACCAGTAAGGCAATCAGTGTAGAAATGTAACGTGTAACCAGTAAGGCAATCAGTGTAGAAATGTAACGTGTAACCAGTAAGGCAATCAGTGTAGAAATGTAATGTGTAACCAGTAAGGCAATCAATGCAGAAATGTAAAGTGTAACCAGTAAGGCAATCTGTCTAGAAATGTAACGTGTAACCAGTAAGGCAATATGTATAGAAATTAATTCCATTGTATGAGGTAAGGCAATCTGTGTAGAAATGTAGAGTGAAACCAGTAAGGCAGTCAGTGTAGAAATGTAACGTGTAACCAGTAAGGCAATCAGTATAGAAATGAAACGTGTAACCAGTAAGGCAATCAGCGTAGAAATGTAACGTGTAACCAGTAAGGCAATCTGTGTAGAAATGTAATGTGTAACCAGTAAGGCAATCTGTAGAAATGTAATGTGTAACCAGTAAGGCAATCTGTAGAAATGTAATGTGTAACCAGTAAGGCAATCTGTAGAAATGTAATGTGTAACCAGTAAGGCAATCAGTGTAGAAATGTAATGTGTAACCAGTAAGGCAATCTGTGTAGAAATGTAACGTGTAACCAGTAAGGCAATCTGTCTAGAAATGTAACGTGTAACCAGTAAGGCAATATGTATAGAAATTAATTACATTGTATGAGGTAAGGCAATCTGTGTAGAACTGTAACATGTTACCAGTAAGGCAATCTGTGTAGAAATGTAGAGTGTAACCAGTAAGGCAATCAGTGTAGAAATGTAACGTGTAACCAGTAAGGCAATCAGTGTAGAAATGTAACGTGTAACCAGTAAGGCAATCAGTGTAGAAATGTAACGTGTAACCAGTAAGGCAATCAGTGTGGATGTTATGTGTAACTAGTAAGGCAATCAGTGTAGAAATGTAACGTGTAACCAGTAAGGCAATATGTATAGAAATTAATTACATTATATGCGGTAAGGCAATCTGAGTAGAACTGTAATGTGTAACCAGTAAGGCAATCTGTGTAGAAATGTAGAGTGAAACCAGTAAGGCAGTCAGTGTAGAAATGTAACGTGTAACCAGTAAGGCAATCAGTGTAGAAATGAAACGTGTAACCAGTAAGGCAATCAGTGTAGAAATGTAACGTTTAACCAGTAAGGCAATCTGTAGAAATGTAACGTGTAACCAGTAAGGCAATCAGTGTAGAAATGTAATGTGTAACCAGTAAGGCATTCAGTGTAGAAATGTAACATGTAACCAGTAAGGCAATCAGTGTAGAAATGTAATGTGTAACCAGTAAGGCATTCAGTGTAGAAATGTGATGTGTAACCAGTAATGCAATCTGTGTAGAAATGTAACGTGTAACCAGTAAGGCATTCAGTGTAGAAATGTAATGTGTAACCAGTAAGGCATTCAGTGTAGAATTGTAACGTGTAACCAGTTAGGCAATCTGTGTAGAAATGTAATATGTAACCATTAAGGCAATCAGTGTAGAAATGTGTAACCAGTAAGGCAATCTGTGCTGAAATATAATGTGTAACCAGTTAGGCAATCTGTGTAGAAATTAATTACATTGTATGAGGTAAGGCAATCAGTGAAGAAATAAATTACATTGTATTTAAAGAGGTAAGGTAATCAGTTTTGAAATAAATTCCATTGTATCATTTCTATCTAACATTTTGTCTAAAAAGCTAAGGCAATCAGTGTAGAAATAAATTACATTGTATGAGGTAAGGCAATCAGTGTAGAAATGAATTACATTGAATGCCAACTTTTCTATCAAAAGAGGTAAGGCAATCAGTGTAGAAATAATTTACATTGAATCAATATTCAAAGTCGTGAAAAATACAAGTAAGTGGGATAAGGAATGGCTTTCTGCATCTCAAATTTTCTCATCACTTGGCTCCGTTGTCTTGTCCTCCCTCATCATCTGTTAACTTTTACAAAAATCTTTTCCTGACTCCAGGAGTCCTGTGAGACTACTAAGCTAAATTTAACAAAACGTAGCCACAATCATCAGTGGGGTATCTAGTTTAAAAATGTGTTTGATGACCCTGGCCACAGACCACAATTAAATTCTCTATTAGTTCTTTATAACGTTTTGTTTCATTAAAAAAAATGCACCGGTTCTTTTTGTCAAATATTTTGTGTGTGTAAAGTACAGTACTAGTCCAAACATATATCAAACATTCAGAAATATCGCTCCCCAGCATCTTACAAATTTAGCCAATATACATCCATACCCCTATGGACAAGTCAAGAGATGTTCCGAAAACTGTAAATATCACCTTATTGCACCTGGCCTAATCACTCTTTCCATATCAAAATCAGTTAAAATACAACATCCAAAAGTTTATATCACCTCTCTTCTTTCATTTCCATCCAAAAAAATCTAAGAAATGAGTGAGGAAGGAAAAGATAAAAAATTAAGAAAAAATACACTCTAATTAAAAGGAACTATATTCGTGGACAACGAAAAGCGGGATCATTAATTGTGGTCTTTGGCCTATTAGGGGTCTAAACCTTGACCAATTCTAATAAAACTTGGCATGATTTAAGCTTAGTGTATTATGAAACAGTTTACAAAGTTTCAAAGCCATATGATACCAATTCTAAAAATTGTGGCATTTTTTATATCTGAACTTTGGGTGCTGAATTGTGGCGTTGAATTAGAATAATTTCAACTATCAAATTTGGGCTTCTAAAAACCAAAATATACCAAAACTTACACTTTTTAATGTCTCTATGTATAAGTTATCACCTATTAAAAGCAACAGATAGCATACTTCATGTTTCAGACTTATAAAAAATGGCCAGAAGTAAA